AGTGAATGCATTAGGCTTCTTTAGGTATGAAATGACTGTACTGTAAAAGCAATTGTCCCTGCTTGACAAATAAAGCATTTCTTGCTTATTAAACCAAATCATTCTGTGGTAGTTTATCTTCATTAAACTTCACTGTTAATATTAAAGAATTGAGAATTACATCCACAGAAGAAATACATTCTTATAGAAAAAATACTCTTGAGAATATTGTAATTGTCTTTTTTTTAAACCACTTTAACAAGAGGCAACTGTCAGATAAACTAAATATAAGGAGGATACAAGTTGAGTGTTAAATGTTCACTTCAGCTTTTCTTAGACCTAATTTAATGTACGCTTATAAAGAAGAGCACTCGAGTCTTTTAGTTCTGCTGCATCACATCACAAATTTATTAATTTCAAGTCAAAAATACATTTTTATAGATATTTTCCATCTGTCTGCTACATGAAATAAACACAATCATCAGGATAAATTATTTACATTAATCACGAGGACTCACACTGAGCAAAACAAGAAGAAACAAACGACTTGTATGTGTGTGTGAGTGAGAGATGTGTGTATTCTGTGGTCTTAGAGTACAGAGATTTTTACAAAACAGCAGTGCTTAAAGCAAACAATCATGTCGTCAAAGGCGAAGACGAGCCTCTCAAAATGAAAACCTGCTGGGAATGAACACACACTTAGACGGGAGCATACAGAGTTCTGGTGGACACGTAACAAATATTCGCTCAGAGAGTTCAACGGAGAGAAACCTTTGTGTGTATCAGTGAGAACGGTGGTTTCATAAAGGGATTTAACGTTATTTCACGTGAGTCTGATGAATCTGTAACATTCAAGAGAACAGCTAAAGAAAACCCTCAGTGTTGGAGGAAATGAATCTGTTGATTTGAGGTAATCGTGAGGTAAAGATGGAATCAAATGGCAGTAAGACAGGTCAGCGATGTTTGATATGATGTCGTTATAGTCATACAGAGATGAATTACATCCCCTCTGACTGTGTTACTACACAACAAATAGACCCCTGTTCCGTGGAATCAGGATTCACACCAGCACAGTATCTTCACATCCTTACTCTTTGGACTACACATGTTAGGGCCTCATTGTCGAAATTATAATGTTGAAAAAACTCTCCTCTCTCCATATTTACATCCTCGTCATTTAATGTACTTCTCGTCAAATGAAGTTCCAAAAGTTTTAAAAACCCCAGACAGTGAGTAGATGGTAAAAGACTGCATGCTGAAAACAAGTGTGGTGGAGCAAATTCTTATTTACAGTGATGGCCACATGACTGGGTTGCACCAGTGGGTCCTTCGGAGCGTGTCTTTTTCTCTTTCTGTCTGCGTGTGTCCTCAGTGCGTCCTCAGCTGCTGCCGCTCACTGTGGCAGCGCTTTCAAGATGGCGTTCACTTCCTCTGCTACTGCTGTCAGCGCAAACTCAAACTGGTCCTGAGGAGGAGCGAGAAGATGGGAGAGGGACGGTTTGAGAAAAGAAACACTGCACAAGGTAACAGGGAAATGCTTGACACACGCAAACACACGCACACGCACACACACACACACACGGCTGGTACCTTGGTGTGGACCAGGCCAGGTCTCTGGTCTCTGATGTGCTCCAGTGTGGCTGCAATGTCAATCTCCTTCACTCCTGGTGACAACAGCAACAACATCACTACAGTGTTTGACATGTCCTACGGTGCTACAGAAAATAAGACCCTTCACTCAAATCCACTTTTCAACCATTCACCACCAAGAACATTATCTTAAAGAGGTTTAGGATTGACTTTCCTATGTATGTGATTTTAAAAGATTTGACCCAGAATTTTGAACAGCACCAAAATTAAAAGGCTTCTTCTTTATGTCACGCCCCACGCCCCCACAAAATGGAATGAAAATGATGGGGGAGATAATAAAACAAGAAGAGGTACAAAAGCTTTCCAGCTAACCTTCCCATTAAGTATGCATGTAATAGATGAATACTAATAATTCAAATATCCCATAATAAGAATTGTTTATCCACATTGTGACTTTAGTTCTCAGTGTCCACAACAGATAACATGACATAATTCCCCCTTCACCCAAAACTGCTGACCTACCTAAATACACAAATCATGTTAGATAATCTATGGGCTCCGTCTCTAGAGGTTAAGACACTAAGTTACATGTTGTGGAGAGAGTGTGTGTGTTTGAATCAGTGTCTCACCTTTGGCCATGCGGTTCAGCACCATGTCAATGAGGATGTACGTGCCAGTCCTGCTGATGCCATCGCTGTGTGACACATGAGGAAACATGTCAAAGCACACGTGATCGTCCACAGAGTTTAACCTTTACCCCCATGTCAAATATTGTATCTTTCTGCAAATTGTGCCCTCTGATTCTTTTCTTTTACCTGCAGTGAACGATGATTGGGCAGGAGCGACCTCTGTAGCATTTGTTCACCTTCCTGAAAAGCAAGGGAACAAGGGAAAGTAGAGAAACAGAGTGACACTACATGCGCACAGCAAAGGATAAAAAGTCTCTTGTACCACTCCTAGTAACAGTGGGTGGAATGAAATGCAAGATGGTATTAGATAAGGAATGGAAAGACGTACGTGAGTGTCAGATGAAAACAATAACATAAGAAAGGGGGAGGACAGAAAAAAAAATGGAAACTGCAAGAGGCCGTGAAGGACAGCGAGGTGGGAAAACAGGAACGAGTGAGAGAAGAGCCACAGTTTCACTGTCTCTCTTGCAGTAGCCAGTCACACCTGCCAATGCTCATTTTTGTGACTATGCAACTGGAGCCAGAGTACTAGCTGCAAACCACAAAAATGACACTGGGAGATGTTAAAGTACAAACCTATCAACCTGCACACCAGGAGAGAGGGAGAGAGGGGTGGGGGTTGATGATGAGGATGATGGAAGATAAAGGATATTAGGAAATTAAAAGCAAACATGCTTCGATTGATTCAAAACGATGCGTGATGACAGGAAGAAGGGAAACAAAGAGATGGAGGTGATGACGATGATTCAAAGATTTCATGACTGAGTCACTATTACATTTTACCCACTAAATCCTGTCGACCTGTTTACCTGGATGTGGCACCAGCTGAAATAAAGATCAAATGCGGGGATAGTCTTTGTGTGTGTGTGTGTGTGTGTGTGTGTGTGTGTGTGTGTCTGTGTGTGTGTAGCTGTGCTGTCTTCTACCTGCGGAAGTCAAGCAGTGGCCGTGTGGAGGTGGGGATGCCGTTGGCCGGCCAGCTCAGCAGATGAAACTGTGTCAAGGTCCTGGTCTCCTGAGTCTGGACGTTCTTCAGGTAGAAGCTGCGCACCAGGAAGTCCTTACACCAGATGTGCTCTGACACCAGGTTCACCTGATGAGGAGAGGGAGGGGGGGCAGGCCGAAATGAAATGAGAGCGTTAGAGAAAGGGGGGGAAATGCCTTGCAACAACAAGCAAGGCCAACAAGCAAATCAAAATCACAGTATATTCTTCTGCCAAGGCCAAACAGTGCCCTTATGAAAGCACACTTAATTTCCCGAGATCCAGATTCTTATTTGGATCTGGACCAAATATCCATGAATTATTCTCTGAGAAATGTATGAAATGTACCAACATGAAAATGTTCCTGTTCTTAATCAGTGCCAAATTTGAGTTGGTTCTTCCCTGACCTTTAGCACATCACACCTTTCAATTGGTTTTGTGGTAAGTGAATATGCCTTTGAATTGTTTTTATTTTTATAACATGTATCTCTTACAAAACTGGAAAAATACTGTGATTATACAAGAGGGAATACATCTTGAAGTAAACTCACTTTGCCACCAGAGGGAGACAAACTATCAAAGATAAAGGGATTGATGTTTGTATTTCTTATTTCTATAAGATGGAATTCATATCTCTTCCTTTTTCATTTAAACCATACAGTGGCATATTATACAAAATGCTCATTCTTCTCTGAGGCAGAAAATCAAAGCCACATAAAAACATGCAGGACAGTACAGATTACCTGATGAATACCTGTCTAAACTCATGATTACAGGTGTTGTATATTTTCAAAGTTGGTCTCTTCCTCAAAATCTAACATCTATTGACGTCAGAACTGTGACTAACGCGAGGGAGCATTCCACATTTTTAGTTCAAATGAAAGCTCATGAGTCACATGGTGTCATTCACCTCATAGATGTGGTAGAGCGATGAGCCCTCGTCGGGCCAGTATCGCTCGCACTGCTTCTCTCCATCCTCCACCAGCGCTGACATCATCACGATCACTGTGCAGCCGTTCTCCCACACCATCTGGAGAGAGGGAGCACACGCAGGGATGTATAGACGCAAATACACCCACACATTCCTTCAAATCTGTGACGTGTGGCAGTAACCGGGCAGACGGCCCAATGGGCTACATCCTTTTATTATTTGTATTTATCACTGAGTAGAAAGTAAAATCAGTAAACTGGACAACAAGAAGGAATGAACTGACCTGCCAGAAATCAGCGACAGTGTGAGGCAGAGGTCCCTGAGTGGCAATATAAGCTGGTTGGCGAGGGTCATGGTCAGACTGGTGAGTAGAAAAACAAGATATAAGGATTTTATAGTGTATTAGATGACACATTGATTAAACAATGGTTGTTTCTTCAAACCTCCATATTGAATTAGAGGGTAATCTCTATAGACAGATTCTACATGAGAATCTGGAGGTGAGGGACAATATTTTAGGGCGTCTCCGTTTCTAGTTTAACCAATCAAATCATATTTGAGCAGGCTTTAATTGAATGCAGGTAAACAGTCCGTATGGAGAGCAAAAGAGGTGGAACACAACGACAAATGACATCGGTTATTGGCTTTTTAATTTATCTGCATTCGTATGCAGATAGCTGGGAAAAGAGGTGAGCAAAAATAAGATAAGATAAAACTTTGTTGATCCACACACCGGGGACATTTTTTTCACCATGTAAACAACTTTTTACGTGAGCGTTCGAATAATTTCTTACAATAGTGCTAGCGTTGATGTAATCTTGTTTGTTTATGTTTACTTCAGGCTTCAGCTTCACCCGAGAGTGATCATCTAGAGAAGAGAAAACAGATGGTTTAGGTTAAAAACAGGATATTTTATACTTTTTCCCTTGGAAAAACTGATGATGTACACACAAGCTTAGAATGTGATTTAGAACAGACAGAAAGAGTGACACTAACAGGGGAGGGACACAGCGTGTCGGTTTTTGTCCATGTTGCTTGGGCCCTGGGCCACAGCTACGGAGCTGGGTTCAGCCTGATAGGAGCACAAGGCCTCCCACTCCTTCTGAAGACGGTCCTTGTTACGCAGGTGGTCCTCCATATAAGCCTGCGGGGGACACGGCACATGAGACATTCAAAACTGCTCATCAGCATCATGGTCTGCAGCAGGAGAATCCAGTGGCTGTGCTCACTCACTAGTATCATGTGACCGGTGGAGATGTCCATGTTGGACTGGGCCGGCTCTTCGCTCCAGGACGGGGTGGAGCTGTGGGTGGAGGATGGGCTGTGCTGCGGACCATCGCTGAACTGGGAGGAGACGCTGCTGACGCGAGACGTGTCGGTGCCGCGTCGGCCGCCAGCGCCCGTGGTTATTGCGGCCCCTGCCATGCTGCTGCTCGCCCCGCCCACACAGTCCTGGCGACACAAGGAGGACTTGGACGCCATGTGCTGCCGACACAGCTCCTGAATGGACAGGGGGGAGGGAGACAAATTACAAATAACACTGAATTAAACATCATCATCAACATTGTTCAGTTCAATAATCAGTTACTATTTTGTCACAGTAAATGTCAAAAGTAATGATACATCAAAAATCCTGCTTTTGCAATATAAATGACTGATATATATATATATATATATATATATATATATATATATATATATATCATAAATTATTGTATTGATGATCAGAATTAAAATTACAACTGATAGATTTTTGATCAATTCACAACTTTGCTTGTTGCCTGTAATCAAAGTTACAACCAAAACACACAATCTACACTTATTCACAAATAAATTGCACTGGTAACTGGTTTAGCAAAGTTATTTAACTGCATTTTAATAGTTTAAAATACATAAATATATAAAATGTTATTTCCTCCTTAATATCCTGATGTTGTCTTGCCTGATAGTCAAAGTGTGTCTCTGCTCCTCCCTCTGGCCCCAGGCCGAGCTTGCCATTGGTCACTTGCTGAGCGTAGTGCCTCAGACAAGCTACGGCCATGGCCAATACCAGCAAGCCACCTACGACTGCCATGGAAACAAGGGTGATAACCGTGCCACTGGAGCCCTGGGAAACCCTGGTTACCTGAGGGAGGCCCCGTGCATCTGTCCTCTGGGGAAAAAATGTAAAGACAATAATGAAGAGTAGTGAGCAAGACATGTGGCGGAGGAGGGTGGAGAGGAACACAAAGACAACAGATTATCACAAGCTATAGGCCGCCCGAGGGAACCTGCCCCCACCCCTGCAATTCAAAGGTCACTCATTTCAATTTGAACAACAAATTCGTTTCTCTGCAAGTGCACATGACAGCAAGGTGCTCAATGAGCAGCTTAGAGATGAGTTTTAAAAAGACAGAGGTCAGGGTAGTTCTGCTTCAGGGAGCCATTAAAAAGAGCACAACCAATACCACTCAACTTTACAGGCGTGTCATTTTAAACAAAAGCTGTCCTGGTTTTCCACACGCACACGCACAAGACTGAAACATTCTAAAGGTCCTACAATGTTAACAAATAAATCAAGAGCTGCAACTTACAAAGATTTTGACCTGTCCGATAACAGACAAAACAAAAGGCCCCAAAAAGAAAACTGCAGCTGCCACTACTTTTTATCTGTTTTGCTTTTTCATAAATCTGAGGAAAACCGCAGCAAACCACAAAATTTGAGCATAAAATTTGGGAAAACTGAACACACACACAATTAATCAGAAACTAGACACACTCATGTTAAAGATGACATATTGTTATCCAGAATTCAATAATGTGAGCTGTTGCTACAATTTACATGCATCTGCCCTTTTCTTCGCTTGGAGTAGTTAACCCATCATTAATTAATTCATAATGGCCTCCTGTTTTAATCATATCTCTATTTTATCTTTGTTCACTTTTGTGTGTGTGTGTGTGTGTCTCAATTTTAATTAAATAAAATGTGTGTTGTCCTAATGTGCATTTCCTTATTAATTCCACAACATGGGAGATGCAGGAGCCGGAATAGAGCCCCTTTGAATACGAGGGAATAATGAGGTGGTTGACACCTGTGGCTGTTGCCATAGCACCTGCATGGGATCAGGAAGCCAAAGTAGTGGGGGGAGGTGCAGGAGATAAAACGCCATGGCAACAAGTGAAACGCTTTTTTTTCCTGGTCATTTCCTCTCAGGCGGCAGACGCTCACAGCGGTTTACATGCACAGACCAACACCCACACGCAACATGGGAAAGCAGCTTTACCGTTGATGTAGCGTATAAAGTGCTTCTAACATCACAGGTCTTGTGTGTGCAGTTTTATTTCTCGAACAAAAATCATCAAGTCCATTTCCTGGAACATCACAAACTAATTTGTGGTGACTACCACGTGGAAACAACAGTTAGGAGATTGATTTGACTTGAATCTGTCAAACTAGAGCCACTGAATGATTAAAGTGAAAATGATAAAGAACAGAGAGGAGTGATTATAACTCTGTTGCCGTGACAACTGCTCCATATGTTACTGATGGGTTACAAAGGACATTTTCCACAGAGGCTGTGTAAGTGTGTGGCGAGTACCTCTCCCACGCCGGTCTGTACGATCTTCAAGCTCATCTCAGACTCCAGGAACTTCTTTTCAGACACTGAGGGGGTCGAAGAACAAAAAACAAACATTTTATTATTAGATAGAAAAAAAAAGCTTTGGTGAAATGGAATTTGACAGAAAAAAAATGTGATAGTTACAAAATAATGAGCCAACAAATGGTTCTGTTTACTTTATGTTTATGTTAATGTGTGGGTCGGTGCGAGTGTGTTTCTGTGAGTGTGTGTGTGTCTGTTGTTGAGCCTCACCAGCCTTGGCAGCCACCTCCGCAACCGTCATGTTGTGTTCATTCTGGAGAATGAGGAACGTCAGCGCAGGACCCACCACACTGGGAACACACACACGTTTGATACTTCAAACCTTTCTTTTAGGAATTATTGTAAAGCAGCTGCTGGGTGGTGGTGTTACCTGATGTTGATGAAGCTGCTGGTTGTCAGGTGAATCTTATCAGCCAGTAGTTCCAACAGCTTCACACCATCATGCAGACTCAGAGGACTGGGAAGAAAAAAAACACCATCCTCTGTGTTGATATCATGTCTGATTTGACTTGTTCCCAACAAGCTCAACCAGAAGAATCGTTTGCTCGAGGGCTGACCTCCGGTTGGTGACAATGTACCCATACTCCTCCTTGGCTCCCGTTCCCTCAACCAGTGGCAGCCCCTGCTCCTTCAGGCCTTGCTCAGCCACTGCAGGAGAAACCTGTGGAGGCTGAGGAGCAGAGGAGGGGACGCTGGTTTTCTTGGCTGGAGGTGTAGCCGGGACTGAGGCAGAGGAGGGTGCAGGAGACGCAGCGGGCGGCCCGTGAACAGGAGCAGGCTTCTGCGGCTTGTTTGACATTTGACTGTCTGTTTTTAACAGCTGCATCTATGGAGGGAAATGATACAAGATTCATTGGTGACAGAATAGGTGCCTGATTGCAATTTGAAATCGTCGCCTAGAATAGATGCTGATGTACCTCCTTGAGCGTGACGAGGTCCTTCTCAACTGGATCTGAGGGAGATAAATGACGACAAAATGTTTTTGGCAAGTACTACTTCAAATGATGACGATAGAATATAAGAGCCTCTTAAAGGTTCAGTATGTAAGATTTTAGTGGAAAGGATCTAAGTGTGTTTCATCTTAATTGTAGGAATTGTTGTTTTCTTTACCTGAGAATGGACCCTTTATATTGAAATAATTATGACTTTATTCTAAAATAGCAGATTTTCCCCCCCTCAATATAACCCTAATGCTCCCTCGTAAAAAACACAATCAATGTAGTTTTAGTATAATTACTTTTCCCCACTCTTCCCTTCTTGTTCCTTTGTGAACATGTTGGGGAATGTACCTGTTTTCTCTTGGGCCTGCAGCAGCTGCAGTATCAGTGCGAGCTTGTAGAGCTGCTCTTGACTCAGTTCTCTGGGGTTCACTCCGTACATCTGCAAGACCTCCGAAATCCTCTGGAGCAAGCCATCTACACACCAGACAAAACAGTTGCAACTGTTGTGTTTTTCCTTTCTTGGGAACATTATATATGAGTATAAGTAACTGTGAATTCATTATTCTCACTGTTGTTTCCAGAGCTGAAGTCCTGAACAACCTTTTTGTTCTGCATTTGCTGTCTGCCTGAAGTGCCAAGTCTCTCCTCTAGGGTGTAGTCCTCCACATAGTCCACTGGTATCTCCAGTTCCATGTCCTCATAGTAAGGCAGACCTGCTCAGAGAATGATAAGTTATGATTGTAAAGAGAAGTATTTAGGTATAATATGTTCTATAATGTGTTGTCATTTATATGAAGCTTCCTTTACCTGCAGGGGCCATGGCAGCAGCCCCCCGGTGGGGATACGAGGGCTGTGCAGATGCCAGGTAGAGGGACAAGGCCTCCTGTAGCAGCTGCCTGTCACGCTCACGCTCTCGCTCTCGCTCTCGCTCACGCTCACGCTCACGCTCTCTCTGATTGGCCTGGGACCTTGAAGAGGGGCGGGCATAGCTGCCTCCCGCCCCTATGAGAGATCTCTCTAACTCGTCTTGGTACCTGTGCTGTGATTGGAAGAGGTTTTACACGGTTACTTGTCATCTAAGATCTTGACTGTGATGCACCGTTGTGAGCTTTGATTGTTGTAAGATTCAATGTGTGGTGAACCTGGTGGTATGTGTATGGGTCCATGGATGCTGTCGGCATGCGCATTTGAGATTGAGGAGGCTCAACAATCATGTAGTCCACGTAGTTGCCACCAGGAGATGTGGACCCAGACCTTGAGTTGTGGTGACTGGGGATGTGCTGTTTAGACCTGGCAACACAGGATATGATCAGACATATGCATGGATGCAGAGGGATAGAGGGATAATGAAGGAGTGAAATATACTGCAGCGTACTTACTGAGGTGAATGAGAAGTGGAGGAAGAGGAGTTTGGCTTCGAGGTTTGGGTGGTACGAGGAACTCTCTTCAGCTCCTTTGATAAAATATACTGGGTGATGTCGTCCTGCCATGAAAAACCTGCATATGCACGTGACCACACACACACACACAGAAATTATACAAAGCCACAGAGGCAGAGAGTGTGAGGCAAGGTTTGTGTGTGTGTGTGTGTGTGTGTGAGTGAGGAAGAGAGACAAAATGTATCCTGTCCCTACATCCGGTCATGCACTGATTTCAGATTTCGTGTCAGAAAAATGGCCACTTGTTCACATGACCAAATAAACATCACTATGACTGAAAAATACTTTTTATGGTCACATCATTTTCTGTATAAATTCTAATAACAGACAAAGTGAGTTGTTATTCATATAAAAACTGTCAAAACTATAAAGGAGGTGTTCCTAATGAGACCACATTAAAATCCACTGTGTCTGGATGTATCTGCACTCATAAATATCACCCCGAAAAAGATGCCTGATTTCTTTTCATCAAGATCCATGAATTTTTCTGAGGGAAATCAATGAAAAAGCACAAAATTCTATGGCTTCTTCCCAAACCACACCCTTGGCTGAAATAAGGACACATAAAAGAAACTCACGAGGAATTATACAGAACTCATTCTTCAGTGTAAATCTTAGATAAAGACAATATTAATGGTATTTATGTTCTATCTTACCTTGGAGCATGAGCTGTTTGAGGACTTCCTGCATCCTCTTTAAAACAGGAACTGACACCTGGTACTGGACCTGGTCCTGTTTAGAGCTGTGGCACTGACCAAGCAGCCCGTCTGAAATAAACACACACACACACACACACACACACACACACACACACACACACACACACACACACACTGTAAACTCTTTCCATCCTTATTCTTGCCTCTTTTAAAATGGCCCCTAATTATGGCTGGATTCCATTTAGTTGCTTAAGTTTCTAGTGACTAAAATGCAGGAAGAAAAGCACTGGTACAATGAATACAGATGTGAAAAAGACTGTCAGATGGAAGATATAATACAGAACAGTAAATACACAACACTACTTAACAGTGTGTACCGACACACTGTAAATGGCTCAGTGATGCAGTGTTTCTGTATGACACTCTAACGGTCGCCCACACTACACGAGTGAGTGAGTCACAGCTTTGAAGTACAGTCCACACACTGACGCTTCCTGTCGAAAGCCTTTCAACAAGGTCAAGTCAATGTGTTTGTGTGTTACCTTTTGAAAAAGGTAAGAGTCACTCTCATGGCAACACATGAGCTCAGAATGATTTTTCTGTTCCCTGTTTTCATAAATTAATCTAAGTACCTGTAGAAATATTAATCCTGCACTTTGTTCAATTCAACGCCTCCACTCTGCAGCCGGATCCCAGCTAATGCATCATTCTTATCTTGACGAAGTGTGAGTCTGTTACATCGCATCGAGGTATAATAGTGTTTGCCTTCTCTGAATACTGAATTAATTATTATAATTTAATAACTACAGAAGCTACTATGACAAAAGCAGAGTCAGGAGATTACGCTGCTGTTTCTCCTCAGTGCTCCTCCTCTGTATCACAGAAAAGGAGGGGCTCTACCTGTTAATTGTTCTACTGCATTGAATACTGGGAGTCTGATTATTTCTAATTTAAATACATTGATGAAAAGCTAAATATCACAAAATGTGCTGAGATTGATACCCTGAACCCTCTGAACAGATCCCCAGAAACACTGCTGCGTGAAACAAAATATAACTAAAGCCGGGCAGACCATTATCTGGCGCAGTGATGAGTCACCGCAGCCTTTCACTCCGCCAGATAAATCTCAACTGAGCCGGCCGGCCACGGTGAGATGGTGAGCTGCGTTAGTGAACAGATTAAAGAGGATTTATGGATTTTTGTAACCACTAGTTCGATATGAAACACTAAAGCATTGTTTTTTGTTTTTTTTTACTTCAGCCCTGTTTCAGCCACTGGAGGGTGGGTTTGCAATACAGCTAATGTTATGATATTAACAAAGTCTGACAAGTAACACAGAGTACAGAAGCAAGAAAGAGACAAAATGAACTCACAGAAAAGAGACGTATTCAGTTTCCCTCGTGGTGTGTTGTAAAAGCTATAATCACATTGCAAATAGTTGATGTTGATTATGTGATTATGACACAGGGTGTTTTATCCTGGCAGTGTATCACACTGGTTGTGTACAATACATCCCCTGAGAGAGGAGGAGGAATGAAGATGACTGGAGAGGAAACAGAAAACTGCACGGTTTGATTGGATTGGGACTATTTCTGGAGCTTGAGTTATTTCTGCAGATGCCATTCTTGTGCAGGATACGTGTTGCACCAAAGAACGTGATAAACATTCAGCTCAGAAGACATGATTTAAAAATGCTCCGAATATTTTTTTTCATGGCACGCATTGGTGCAACAATCTACGACATGTGTGAGTCTTTTTAGTCCCACACAGATGGGAACTAAGGTATGTTCACTATCCAGGCAGAAACCACCCTCAGGACTTAGATAAATGCTTCTAATTAATTTCCATTCACTTCCAAAGAGACAAACATTAAATCTCTGTTTGGAAAACTGTTTTCCTGCAAATCATTTCGTGACCTTAAAAGTACTTAGCATTGCAATCAATGTTTTGATGCTATAAACGATGCATTTAAAATTGATGCTGCAAAGCCAGAGATATTTTTTTTCCTTTCTCCTCGAATTGATGTGATGTATGCTATAGTCATGGCTGATGTAGCCTCAGGATGCAGAAGAAGGGAAAAGGAGCAGAGGTCATAAGACTATATTGAACTTGTAGTCTCCAGCTCCTGCTAACGTTTGACTTAAGTCAGAATCTGAGAGGAGCAATAAGGGGACAAGGTTAGGGTGCAACAAGAATGCACACAACTCAGACCTGACCTTGTTCTGGTTAACATGTTTCACAGACTAAAACAGGCTGAGCTAATCACCATGACCTTGGTCCATGCATAAATGTGGACAAATCTGCTCCAGCACTGTGTTCACAGTGTCACGACTGCAAGAGTCAACCCCACATGGTACCACGATCAAAACACAACACAAAAGTGTGTGTGCATGTCTGACTGTCTTTGGGAGGCCTGGTCTAAGGGCCACACAGACACACACAAACAAATTGTGCTTTGCTGTCCATAGCACACATAACACAAACAATGTATGATACACAAAAAGATAGCACCATAACAATGAAATAAGTTGGTATATTTATTGTTTATTGTCAACTAAGCTAAAACAGGTTTTACTTTTGAGTAATTAATATCTTTAACACTGGTAATTCATTTTCACAATTTGTCACAAGGTTGAAAACAAGGATGCACATTTGGAAAACTAGATCATAGAGGAATAGACAAGGGCCTGTTTAAATGAAGGAGTTTCAAGTTGTTTTTTAAAGGTATCAGGCAGATCTAACATCTATAGAAAGGGTGTCCCACAGGGTCAGAACCATGACAAATAAACCATCACCACAAGAATGAGAATTCAAATGAATCCTGAACTTAATGAGACGCTGTTGTGAAATGTTGATTTGCTGCTGAATTTGCATTTTGCAAAGCTCCACTAAAGCATGACAGCAAAATTCAGCCTTTTTTTCTGTGGGAGACATGATCTATGTGAAGCCCCCCCAAAAGGGTGTGATAAATACATTGCTTACAGCTTGTTTTCCATCGTACACTCTGTAAAAGAGACAGACCGAGAGATAATACAGCCAATCAGACTGTCTGATCAAATATTTTTCTCTCGTCTTCTGCCCCCAGAACACAGATGTGCATAAATCCAGCTGTTCTATTTTGTATTCCGTCCAATGGCTGTGCGCGTGTAAGAGCAATTTCCACAGAGAAGTGCGTAAGCGTGTGTCAGTGACTCATCACTGTATTAGCACAACAACTGTGGGGGTGTCAACCTCACGGTGATGTCAGTGTTGCCATGGAGACAGCAGAGTAGGGGAGGGGCTTAGATAAAGAGGAGGAAAAGGGAAAGGGACAGGTGATGGGGAGAGATAGACTATATGAGGCTAAGAGAGGAGAAACTCCTGTTTGTTTGTTTTTATACTCCGCCTTTGTGCCTGCAGGATCCCAGTGTGTGTGTGTGTGTGTGTGTTAGTTGCATAATTAATAATTTAATAAGCTGTTGAGGTACAGAAAGTGTTAAGGAAGTAGTCCGTCTTAAAAGTTTTATGCTGAAGTTGAAAACATTTGTTTGACTACGTGTGTGTGTGTGTGTGTGTGTCTTGTACTCACCATCTGAGCAGAACTGATCCCTCCTGCACAGTTTTCTTTCAAACAAGCAACCTGAGGCAGAAAGACAAGAAGAGATTTCTAACAGGTATTCAGGGGTAAAATCCGTCAAGGCAATTTCCATGGCAACAACTGCTTTAACTCACATTTGGGGAGGCTGAAATCAGGATGGAACAAAATGAGCTCAACCCTGTCTATATGTATAAATTGTCATCATATCATCACATCAGCCTTTGATAAATGATCATTTAATAAGTAATTTGTAATCCCAAAACCTGAAAGTTATATTTACTTATATACTTATGTTACTTATATTATCGTATTTATTTTATATATATTATAAACTGAACAAGTCTATGTTATGTCAATGTATTGAATTTACAATAGGTTATTCATTGACTGCAGATTTGTAACAGGGAACATGAATGCAGTGTTCTAGTTTGTATTTTTAGTCTTTTCCTTGTCTTTCTGTTCCACTGTTTCTTATTTTAGTCTAGTGACTGAGACCCTGTGGGAAGGAGCAGGTGTTTGGCGATAGATAGGAACCTAACACAGAACGATATGCATGAGTAGCTCTGTCTGTCTGTGTGTATTTCTTTTTCATGTCACATCTCATCCAGTTTTTTGGTCCTAAGTTCCATGTAAGCATGTGACGGACAAAAAGCAAATAAATATAATATAAGTGGCATAAAATCTGTGTGTAGGTGTGTGTAAGGATGTATCCCATAATGAGTCCCTATGAAAGCATGTTAATTACTGCTGAGCTGGTGGTTCTATGAATTGAATGTTTACCTAAATACAAACCTGCGTACAGAACAAAGACTCAGCTCTACTTTTTCTCTTTACCTTGAAATGAAGTGACGCAGTACTTAACAGCGTTGACTGTGACTCACCTCTTCTTTCTTTAGAGAAAAACACAGTGTGCACACACCGTGTGTTGCCACTTATCCTCTGATGCACTGACATCTAATGTGCACCAGAAAAAAGTTTAATTCATGGGAAGGTATTTGGATAAAACCTTACTCTCTGAATTCTGCCATCAAATAATTTGTTGTTCTGGCTGTCATTAAGGATTTTTACATATGTATCATCCAATGTGGGGACGCCTGTGTGAACCTTCACACAAGCTTTGGGAAAAAAGGCGAAAAAACCACATGGGTATTGGTGTAATGGGTTACTGCCAGAAGGTATCTGAGAAACTGTGGCACACAAGGGCTCACAGAGGGACTGACACACACAACACAAGACATTGTGTGGAAATGCCAGCACGAGTCATCAAACATTGACTGATTTTCCAGGAGAGGGCATCTGCTAGTGTTGGGCTAACAATCAACACGGAGCTAAAACAAAGACCCACATCACAAAGCCACTTCAACACACTTATTTTCTAAAATTTGAAATGAAGGTTTTATTTCTGGATCTTATTGTCTGTTGTGTTTTGTTAAATCTATCTGTGAGGGGGATGTCAGCTTTACAAGCATGTGTATTGACCTACGGGATTGTCTGACTCCTACACTTGTTTTCAGACGAGAAAACGAGAGCTTGCACGATAAAACTCCCCAGTGGCAAATAAAATAAGACACCCACTGGTCCAATTGTATCAGAGAAAATTGACATCCCTCCTCGGCCGACAGTTTACTTTATATTCTCATTAGACTAATAATCATTATTTAAAACAGACATAAATAAACGTGTTCACTAACGTGCTAAAACACCAATGTTCCAATGATTACACACTTTGACGAGCAAATCTAAATTTGCCATAGCAACAGGACACCTATCCCTCAGGGAGACGAATGGCAGCAGAGACGTCAACAGACATAAGCCTCATGCTGTGTGTGAGAGGAGCGACAGTCGCACATATGGATGGACGGCTAATCAGATGAGCAGATGGATGGATGCATGTGAGGAAGACATTCCTGGATGAATGGAGGGAAGGAAGTAACTGTGGTTACTAGTTTCTCTCCATGGTGCTGAAATCGTAAGCGTTCGCTGATTGGCTTGTCATTATGCTGAGCACCATTCATTGTTTTTTGATGCCATTGACAGAGGTTTTCTTCCATCAAAGTTTGGTTTTCTAATGATAAAATTGCAAAAAAAACACAAGTAGTTTATTTTAATATTTTTGTTTCTTCAATAGCGAAGGAGTCGTTTTGAATACATACAAAGAGATCATAGGAGAGACTTATTCTATCTTGCAAATGCAGTCAATTCTCTCCACTGTCAGCAGTTGCTTTTAAGGTGTTTCAGGAATCACATCTGTGGTTGTACCTAATAGTTGAAACTTAGGTAATAAAGATTTTAAACTTTCCAAGAATTAAAGGAGTGATTACATCCAGATGTGGATGACTTATGTTGATTTATTTACATCAGATAAAAACCTGAAGCAGAGAATTAAAAACATTTGTTCCTTTTCAATCTCTGTGTAAATTACTCACTGAATCCTAAAAGCTTCATCTCCACTTACACACCCAAACAAACATTATTTTTTCAAATGCTCAAAAATAATTTGTATATAGAGATGTGACAATTCACTTGTTGCACCAGTGTGTCAATTACACATTATGTCTGTTTAATGAATAAATCTTCTAAAAGAGAAATTCAACTCCTTCTGTAACACTTAACGACATGAGATGATCATTGCTGCTGCTGCCACTGTCAATAATACTAACGGCACATCCACTGCTGCTACTTTCACTGCCATTTCTACTGCTGAGAGTGAAATGTGACACTTTGAGGGCATCAGCACACACATGTTTAAAAACACAATGACCAGTTTAAATTCTGTCGCTCTATTTTTAATTCATAAATAAGATTAGCGACCTACATCCTGCAGTATTCCAGTTTTAAAAAGTCATTTCTGTATAAACTGTAATTTAGTGAATTAAGATATTTGCATAGAAGTTTTGGGAAGGTCTGATAATGTACTTTACCCATATATGCATGTTTTACTCAAAAACACATTTCACATTATAGTTCATTTTTAGCCAATTAACTATGGCACATTGTACACTTATCCCTACACTGGTTCTGAGCTGGAGCATGAGATTATAAAGTCAATACCTACTTAGATACACAATGTACCTGGGAGAGTAATACAGGAGAGTAACAGTGAGTTCTGGTTAAGGATCGTTCCATCATCATCATCATCATTATCATCTTACCGTATTTGTCTGAGAGCCCTGGTTGGCACAGCACGGTGACAAGCAGCAGAGCTCGCCATGGTTTGAGGTGATGCATGATCCTCTCCAGCCTCACAGCAGCAGGAGGATGAGGAGATGCGGAGAGAAAGATGCGGAGGTCCCTTTGCTTTGCCCCTTTTCCTCCCTCGTCCCTTAAATCCCCATGTTGTTCAAACGAGCTGCAGCCAGAGTCGACAGCTCAAACCGTAAACCCCCAAACACAAGCCCACGCAGACAGGGAAATATCGGCTGAAGAAATTAATGGTAGAAAGGAGTGGATCCTCACAGTGGAGAGGAAAGGCGGGGCGTGGGGAGGATGAGGAGGATGAAGAGGAGGAGGAGGAGGGACAGGCTGTGGACATGAGACGTAGTATCGATTCACGACTGCACAGCTGCGTAAATGACGCCCAGGATTAACCTGCAGCTACGTCATCGCGGAATGGTTAGGGGTTCATTTTAAGGATTCCACCCATTCATATACGTCATGCATTTATTATTCAGAAACGTGCATGCAGGCGCGCGAAACGTGCAACTAGCTGTGCAGAGGTGTATCAAGACAAGTCTTGCTCCTGTATCTAAAGTAAGTTAACATGCAGGTTTTTAATCACATTTTATATTTAATTTCATGTTTGACTGTTCAGATTTGTCTGGAAGTCTAACTCTGATACAACCTGTCACCTGTGTGTAACCTTCTTTTCTTGGTTTGTACCCACATAGCACAATTCATTTTGGCCCAGATTTGGTCCACAATGAACATTGTCAACCAGCCCACAAGCACATACAGTGTGGATTGATGGCACCTGGGCGCTCCGCTCCTGTTTGCCAGATCTGGGCCACAAGTAAACCACAGCAAAACCACACATCAACCAAAGGTGCCTAAAGGTGCCAAATTAGTTTTGTGCTATTTGGGTCATATTCACCATTTACCACATGGGCCACTTTAGGCTCACATCCATTGTGCGCAGGCCACTAAAAGGCCTGTTGTGCTGCATCATCAAAGTGGCCCACATACATCCAGCTGGCCTCTCACAGCGCTCTAGTACAAGGTTACTCCACCCTTTAACACTCATACCTGTCCTAAAGGCAGGTATAGGGACCAATTCACTTCTTGGCAAGGGGACATGCAGCAGTGATTGTAATGTTTCACTTGAAAATATGTGACTGAAATAACAATGACAGTGCTCTAACTGATAATGAAACAAAGGCATATTTGGCAATAAACTTAACCCTGCAAGTGCACAAAAATGTTAGGGTTTATTCCAACTGAAATAATTTGCATTGTAAACTACATAGCCCAATAGGAAACATAACATTTGTATACTAACTTATGTGATTAGTAAGGAAGGAACCACACCTATGGGTTTAAAAGGCTACACATTTTTTAATTGAACAATTATCAAATATACCAAATATGGAACTTACATAAAATACTGAATAATACATATTTCATATAGTGTCTGAATTTGGACCCAGTTACAGAACAGAGACCACAGAGAATGTTTAACAGATCTATCACAATGAACAGAGAGAATCCTGAGAGTTGAGCAGAGTGAGGGTGGAGAGGAGACAAGAAAGAGCTGCAGGGCTGAGAGGCAGGTGAGTTTTGAGGCAGGCAGGAAAAAGCAGAGCAGGTAGGAGAGGTGGCAGGAGAGTAAAACCTGCAGACTGGGAGGAATAAAGTCAGAGAGGCAAAGATTCAACAAGGCTCAGAGAATCAAAAAGTACAGAGACTAAATCAGCTGTGGCATGAGTGTGATGAACTGGTAGAAAATGGATGGCAGCACTGTGCATATATATACTGCTGGGGTAGATTGCTTAATGCTTTACAGGTGGGTCAGCCACGCCCCTATGGGTGCCTGCCACTCACACACACACACACACACACACACACACACACACACACACACACACACACACAGGGAATTAAAATTACATGGGCTAGGCCTTGTTTCCTTTATTCTTTAAGAAACAAACTAAATCCAGATCTCACTCTCTTGTGCTTGGATTTGTAAACATAAAATCCCCCGATAATGGGAATGATATTAACCAGAGAGTCATCTTTGCATCCGTTTGTACTTTTGGTCCATTATTTATGTCATTTTGGGGGGAAACCATCCATGAGCATCCAGCCATAGCTTCAGAATACATGGATTGGAAATATAAGTGATCAGTAGTGTTAGTTTCATCATAAAAAACACAACAGCTTTACACATTTAGAGCAGTCGCCTCAGTCCAGGTAAGAACCTACAACCTTTAACTTACAAGAAAACAAAACATTTCAAGTTCCTGTTTACTAGAAACAGATATTTCCTAAATGTATCGCTTTTGTTCTTTTGTATTTCAAACTAACATGGACGCTGGATAGTAAATTGATGCTTTCTGATTAAAAACCCTGTGAAAATAGCAAGAGGGTTTTTTTTAATGCCAATGAGGAAATAGTGTCACAGCATCGTCTCATTTAATTATCCTATTGCGCCCTCTGCTGTCTGTTCAAACCAAAGCATGGGGAAGTCTACTTACAGTCTAGTGCAACCACTGCTGAATATACAGCAGATTACTTTTAGTGAGCTCACAACAATTCATGATAGAGTTTATCTGATATTATTCTCAATTAAAATGTATTTTTACTGCCTGTTAAAAGCATTAAATAAAATCGAATATACATGGGTAAATGGTCTGTACACCATCTGGAGTGCACGCTGAAATAACACTGAACCAGATAAATGCCCACTGTGCTTCCATTAGTAAAATATACTCAATATAGAATGTTATTTACATTTAATTTATTTGTAAGGTGTTTATGACTTGAATCAGTGCATTTTATTTTCAGCAGACAAACATTTATAATTATATAGATAGAGATATATATAGTAGACCCACTTTTCCCACCTTGCTTCTATCCTTGTCAGAGCATGGGCACTATCCAGGGAATGATTATGATGTGGGGGTATCATTGCTCACCCTCCTGAGGGTTTCTATCTGCTGAGCAATATTAAGTTGTCTCTGCTCATTTCACTGACAGAAGTCCGAGGCGACCGTGCTGTGATTGAACAGGAAGTGGCCTTCGTGTGTGACTCATTAAACACATGGTTTGATCTGATGTCCTCAGTTCTCTATTTCAGGCACATTGTGCTGCTGTTGGTTGTGATATCGTATCTCGCCCAAGATAGACCCCAGAGTAGATCCATGTAAATGTTGTCCATAAAATCTCTCTGGTTGCATGTTACATGCTTGCATGAAATCACAAATATGCACCCGCCACTCCTGCACAAACACACACACTGGTCTTTGTATAGTCACGAGAACCCCCCCCCCTGACCCAAACAGAGCTCTAACTTTAACCCTGAAACCAGTTGTGGGGATCGATAGTTGAAAACCTAAATTTGTCCACACAGCCAGATTCCACCTCTCTTTCTGTCTCACTCCTCCACTTCCATCCTTTCATCCCTGTGTCACGCTCAGCTCAGCTCAGCTCAATGGCATGTGTGTACCAGTGTGTTTGGTTGGTTGCCGGGCAACATGCATTCAGTGCTTATGAAGGATGAAACCAGCTGAACACCCCTGATCTATAGAAACTATTTAAGTTGCGTTAAGACATTCAAGCATTTTCACTATCGCTCACTGTGACTGTTATTCTATGGTTATTATCACATTATTTTCTGCTGCTGTCTGCTCTAATGTACCATCTGTAACTATATCACAACACTAATGCTAAAATACTAATTACAAAGACCCACAGAGAGGCGTCTCTGTAATGTTTACTGTGACAACAAACAGATTGTATATCTCCGTTTCTCATGTTTAGTGGTTTTAAAAAGGTTCTTCAAACTATTTCCCACCATGTCATCCACACTGCTTGGCTTCTACTGCCCTGACATTCCACAGAGCAGAGGCACCCATGCTAGACCCCAAATATTCCCAAAATACTTCACACTTTCAACATGGCAGTAAGATAGGATTATATAATAAATAGATTTTACTTCTTTTAGAGTGCCTACCCAAGGCCCAACTGTCACCTTATGAAACATATTTTACAATTCAAACTTTTATGTTTTTGTTTACTTTTGTTTTGTGTGTAATCCTTCCCACAAACAAACAGACCGTGGTGAAGGTAATACATTTCATTTAATACAAGACATATAATAAAAACCTCTTTTGTGTCATACTGATAATTGTGGATACGTTATTATTCGGTGGATGTTCTCTGACTGAAGTGGATGTTCTCAAACACAATGTTTCACCTAATTTGGCTAATTGGCTTTTTTCTAATGCAAGCTTGAGAATATAGCTGCTGTTATTTTTAAACCGAAACATTGCATCCTATATTTAAAATAGAATCATGACATGGCTGAGTTGGGTTTGGCTGCTATGTTCTGTTGATATTCTCAGACTTGGTGTGTGCATGTGTCTGTGTCTATCTGATAACTGTTTTCTCAGCCCTGCCGGGATCTGCCTGCTAATTTAAGACTTTTTTTTAACTTGACCACGTGTCAGGTGTTGCTTGTTTGTCTGCGGTTGTCAGGCAACCCGCAGGTCGCTCACTTTCCGTCCTGCGCTGATGATCTGGTGGCCTTCGGCAGCGGGAAACTCCTGGATGTGCCAGACATGTCGGCAAATCACCCAGTCCAGTCACACCATGCTCACATCTTGTAATTTCACATCATCTGACACAGTGAAAAGGCCCCTCATCATTCCTGCTGCATGAGTGCTGTGGGATGGGAAATCTTACAGAGCATCGGTTTGAGGATGTGACTCAGAAACTCGTATCGGAAACCCTTTGAGAGTGGAGTCATCATCTTTGTAGAGGCAACATGCCTGTTTTTTAAAGCCAAAGTTGAGCGGTGGTAACATGACAAACAACAGAAGTTACCAATGTCGACACCAGGGTCTTTTAAAAAAGGATTTCTGTTCAAGGTTATTCAGGGATGTTTGCCTGACCACATGGGCCTATTAGAAGTCATGGTCTGATGATGTGTGATGATAAAAGACACATATCTTACATTCAACATTCATTTTCAAGGTTTTCATAAATAAGAATAATTTAAATAAATAAATATAAATATGAATAAATAAATATATATGTGTGTGTGTGTGTGTGTGTGTGTGTGACAAGCTGGAGTTGGGTCTAGATGACCCTCAAAGGATAAGCGGAATAGATAATGGATTGTTCATTGTAGTTTTATCTTTTAGGGACCATGAAGTGATCCTCAGACATATATTCAAAGTAAAATATATTTGAAAAGGATTATTGTTTTTAATGTGAACAACTTGATTGTGTG